TAATTTATTTTTGTTTGACTATAAATCGAGTTGGCTTATATACCTTCTCCACTGCACGTCATTTTTCTTTGTTCCTTCTGTCATTTTTTTTGGATCAACGATTATACGAGGATAGTCGATATGAATATTTCAATAACAATCATTCACATGATCAACCTGGATTTAGATTAAGGGCCACAAAAAAACATAGTAGATTGAATCAAATTATATTAGCTCATGTACAATCGAGTTTGTTCATATTTCATTCGGTTAAGCCCTTATGTTTACTTATTTAACGGATAGTCATGCTTACAATAATAACTTATCTATGCATTGTACCTTTATTATTGTTGCATTTGTACGAATATAGATGCTCGAGAACTGCTTACTGCTTACGCTTATATTCATTCTGCTAGCATTACTGTTAGTAGCTTAATTGAATCTATGATTCACTCATTTCCATATGTATTACTTACCTACTTAAACCTGTTTAGCCTCTCAAAGGAGCATAGGCCGCTCACCATCATTCTCCATCCAACCCTGTCCTAAGCAATCCTTTCCAGCTCTCACCAGTTGTTCTTCATCATTTTCATATCTGATTCTATTTCCCGATATAATGTGTTCTTTGGCCTTCTACTTTTCCTCTTACCTTCAGGATTCCAAGTTAGGGCTTGACGCGTGATGCAGTTTTTTGATTTCCATAATGTATGTCCTATCCTAATTTCCTCTTCATCTGAAAGCTGACTTGTTCTCTCCCACAGAAGGTGGTTGATGATGGTATCCGACTAATGGATGTCGAGTATCTTGCGTAGACAAATATTGATAAATACTTCAACATGTTTGATGATGGTTGTGGTAGTTCTCCAAGTTTCAGCTTTGTACAGTAGAACTGCCTTGACGTTCGTATTGAAGATTCTGACCTTAATATTGATTGACAGACAGTTGTTTTGAGTTCCATATTTTCTTCAATTGAAGGAATGCGTCCATCACTTTGCGAATCCTCGACTTTACGTCTGCATCTGATCTTCCTTGTCCATCGATGATACTTCTCAGTTATGTGAAGGATTCTACATCTTCCAGAGTTCCACCATCAAGTGTGATTGGATTACTGTTCTCCGCGTTGTATTTGAGGACCTCGGTTTTCCCCTTGCATATGTTCAGGTCTACTGATGCAGAGACTGCTGCTACACTGGCTGTCTTTATCTGCATTTGTTCATGTTTATGGGATAGGATGGTTAGATCATGTGCAAAGTCCAGATCGTCTAATTAGTTCTGATCTGATCACACATATATTTGTCAAGACATTTTTTATATGAAAATTAAAAGGTCAACTATACAGGTTAAAGGTAAGCCAATCAGGTATAAAATAATAGGTTTCAAATTTCGGCGTGAAATCCATTCATCCATTTGGTTAAACAGTGTGCTTGGTATTATAGCTAATGTCAGTTTGTGATGAAAACCCTAAATCTAATTCCTAACTTTAATCATCAACTGTAAATCATAATTTTAATTCCTCTCGCTGGTTTATAACTCTCCTTTGGTCTTGGTTATTAGATGAACACTCTCAAATTCACTTTACCTTCGCTGAAAGGTCGTCCATAAATTAGTCTCACCGATACATTCTTTATTTTGAATAAAAATTCATTTACTACTATCAAGTTACTTATTATGAAAATCAATGAATAAACAAAGATATTATACCGTATTTTATAATAAACGTTAATTTATAGTCAGTGCTATTTATTTATATCATATTTTAAACAGAAAATGTGAATAACAACTGTTACAGTTCCAAAACATATTTGTAATTATTATAACTAAAATTGATTAATCCTTGATGTAAATGAAATAATAAACAGTATGGTGTTGTGGAAATTATTAAGTTTTTGATTGATTGACGTCAAACCACCATTGAAAACCTGGAAGCACTGGACGGCCGTTCTATTGCGGGACTCCTAAGCAGTGCGCATCCACGAACCCGCTCGAGGAATTCGAATCCAGGGCCTTCGGTCTCTCACGCGAACGTTTAATTTTTAGACCGCTGAGCCAGCATCCAACGGTGTAAATGTCTTCCATCGTACTGAGGTAGATACCCGTCTCTACCTAACACAGATTAGTTTCACTTGTATAACAATAACTAATAATACTATCAATATTGCATTAAACGTGATATTAATTTGTTTTGAACATAATAACAGTGTTTAAATTTATTGTCTGACATTTCATCATATTCAGGTAATTTTCATGTTTTAAAAGCTAGTGAGTCAATCATAATCAACATTAGAATCGGTAAAGATGTGCTTCGGTACAACTTACCAAATCAACAAATACAGAGTTAATGAAAAAGATAAATATCAAACATATTGAAATACCAATAGTACTAATAATATCAGGATATATACAACTTGGAGAATACAACTCTATTGAACTAACAATCAATTGATAAATGGACTGATGCCACATCATTCTCTCGACTGCCACTGTGTGATGAAATAGGAGAAGACTAAGCTTCGTCTGATCCAGATTTATAATTTTATCAACCGATTTGCGATCTTTGACAAATACATTACGCGTAACCACAGAATCATATACACTGTTCGCCCACTATACTTCGATGATATATATATATATATATATATATTATTCACAGATAGATGTCATCGAATTTCAAAGACCACTTTTCAGTCACAATATTAGACAAAATGCCCTGACAAGTATATGTGTGACCAGATTGTTCGAAATGTATAGCGCAAATACATTATATTTTCCAGAACAACTCCATCTTCTCATTGTTCTATCAAAATTTATGAAAGGGACTAATTGCTTTAAAATAGAAAGTCACTCAGTACATTTGCCTACTTACTAAATTAATAAATTTCCAAATGATCTTTTAAAAGTTCTAGTTAGTTACCACAACGAGATCTAATAAACCGGTTTCTCATTATCCACATTATTAGTCTATTTCTCAGTTTCCTTTTTTTTACAATCAACTAATGTATCTATAGCTTAGATAACCAAAATAACCAACATCTGTATCAATAGTTTGACTGTAACGAAAAAATGATACCCAAAGCAATAAAATGAATGAATCGTTATGCATAAGCTATATCCTGGCGAAGATTACATTACGAGTAGCTTCTGAGAACTGTTAACGGACTAATATTGTCTATATACTCTTACGGTATAACTATTCAGTAACTAGATTGTATATATCTATATTCCTATTATTATAGGCTTCATTTTGATCTATAGATTATTATTGTACGATTTATTGTTCTTAAGCTATGTTCATTTTATTGACTACTGCCTCTCACGTTCACAGCCACTTTCTGGCTATATTTTGTACAAACGTTATTCCCAATTTTAGGGTGCGTTGCGGTCTGTTTGATTGATATATAAACCCAGTATGTCTGAAATAAATGATTCGTTTCGATTCGCATAGTGGAAGCTGGTATTGATGTTCTGGACTCAAGTGGACGGGCTAGGCGAACATAGGACCAAAAAGGACGTTAGGCTACTCATATCGGTCGAAAGTCATTGGTTTGGCACAGTGCGAAGACTGTATAGGTCGTATTTTGATTGGTGGATAAATCACATGATAATTAGCCAGACAAAAAGTCACAATAATATATATAAATGCCCTGATTAGGTCGAGAGTGGGGAGAGTCAGCTCTCCCTCACAAAATGCTCTCACATGGCCGCGTGCATACAAACACTGCCAGGAAAATTCTATTCACAGCCTTCTCGTGGCGGGGATGTTATTTACGAAGTTGAGAAGACAAAAAGCGAATTCCCAGCGCTTTAACCGGATTAGTGGATATGGAGGATCGATTTAGAGGAGTAGAAAAACCCTTATTCTAAACCATTAGTGTACATGGGCTCCAGGATTTTCAGGGAACAAATGGTGTTATTATTAGTCACCGGCTACCATGGGACTGAGTCTCCTTACATTGCTCCACTGTCTTGTGGATTAGAACTTTACGTCAAAGGCTCGGGGTATGATCCCTCTAAGAAAACCACCTGTTTCGGTTTGGGCACTCGAACAGTACCCTAGCCCTCACACATATCGAGTGATTTATGTGGCGCATACCTATTTGGTGCTCATCCTTTGTACCAATGTTTATATGTTTAAATAAATAAATAATATAAAATATTTATATATATATATTTAGGAAAACATGAAAACTCATTTTATTTCTGTGAATAGTATACAACATAAAAATCAATAATCCATACAAAAAATCCAAAGTTGAAGCTTAATTATAAACTTAATCTAATAAGGGTTTGATTAAAACAAACGAACATACACACAGAGATATAGCGAGCGAGCGAGACATTAAGAGAGAGAGAGAGAGAGAGAGAGAGAGGGAGAGAGAGAGAGAGAGAAGGAGAGAGAATGAGAACGAGACAAAAATAATACGAAATATATGCATTATCTTTTCCTTCTTACTAATAATACCCAAGACAAAATTACAACCTACTCAACACAAATAATAATTTGGTTATAAAGTTTACTTTGAAATGAAACAAAACCCACTGTTAAGATTGATTAGAAAAGAAACAAAACATAATCTTAAGGTTTAATAGCAATAATAATAATAATAATAGTAATCGTATAGTCACAATCACACTGTTCAATAACAAGAAACTACAATTTGTAATTGATAATTACAACAATTGTATTCAGACAGGTTATTACACAAAATACTTGTTATTATATTGTAATATATAGATAGATAGATAGATTGCATAGCAACTATAATGATCTCTTGTTTATTGATGCATTTCATATATTGGGAAATAATAATATATAATATTAGGAAGAATATAACACAAAAACAACAATGACATCTATAGATTCCTATTGGTTACAAACAAACAAACAAACGGAAATCTAAACACTTTTATGAGAGATAGATACTATTAAGCCAAAAAAAATACATTTTTTTTTTAAAAATGGGAATTAAAAATAAGTGAAATGAGCGAGAGCGAGCGAGCGAACAAGAGAGACACAGAGAGAGAGAGAGAGAGAGGGAGAGAGAGAGTTAATGGTTCAATATATGAATTTATTAGTATATGTAATGAAAATTGTAAAAGTAGTAATTAATAAAAATGAAATAGAAAAATGTTTAGGTGATGCATTACAATAATCTTCATCACAACATTCAGTGACTAGGCCAGCTTTACCACCACGACGATCTTGTGGAACACAACTTGCTACACAATCTTTTGCAATTCTATAATTATCTTCATCACGATAAGTGTAAACCGTCTGATGAAAAGATTTTTAAAAAAAAAAAACAAATAATTTCGAATATGATATTATTAAATTTCATTGAAATCATGATCAATGTTAGACCATCATTGAAAATCTGGAAGCACTGGACGTATGTTTTGTCCTGATATCGAAGATGGTCATTCAACATCATGAATTGGTTGAATTTAGAGATTAACACCGTTAGGTACCGTCTCAATGGTCTACAGGTCAGAAGTTCGAGTGCGTGAATCGTGAATGAACACTGCTTAAGGAGTCTCATACTAGGATGGAATGGATATATAATGCTTCCAGGTTTTCGATGGTGGTCTAACACTGGTCAGTTCATGAAATTCAACAATCTTCAAAACCTCAAACTGAAGATGATATATTAAACATATACGTCAGTGACATCGATCGTCACACACAAATAACTTATACCTACAATAACTTTCTATAGTCTACTACGGGGTTGTGACTGATTGTGTAGAAGACTTACGTATTCATAAACCTCAGTAGGCATAAACCTAAGTATTAAATCATGAATATAAATCTATAATCAGTACTATACATTACGACATGTAAAAATATTCTTGATTGGAACAGAACAATGATAAACATTGAACAATGTCATCCATCTCACTAATGATATAATCCAACACATACTGATGGTCTTGTAAATAGTCCAAAATGAAATACTAATAATTACAAGTAGGAAGAAGCTTTTAAACTTTGATTTTAAGCGACTTCCACTTTGTTTATAATCGTTACGTTGTGTTATGAAATGGATGTTATCTGACAATAATCCAATTCATTTAAACATTAAAAAACAAATTTGAAATGATTCACTGAATGTTATTACTACCAAAGCTATTTGTTTAATACCAGACAGTTAATCAGCCACTAATACTGAAAAAATAAAATTTTCTTTGATTAGTTGTTTACATCACAACATGTTTGTTCCGCTGCAACTCACACCACCCTTGATAAAATATATAACAGCGGAATTCAGTCAAACATTAGCACATGATAGTACGATCTAGTTCCATTTATCTTCGGGTGTATGCTATTTTTTGTATGATGTATAACGAATTGTACGCTTTCTATCATTATTTACAGTTAAACAGAGTAACCTTAAGAAGTAGTTCAAAAACATGATGTTCTCAAAATGTTCATTATCCAGTTCCACAGCTCTTTAGCGGCGTTCATACATAACTCCATAAATGATCAAATTCATGACCTTCTGAGTTCGCAGAGAACATGATACTATCTTACATCGAAATTCATTAATAGACATAATTATAACCAATTAGTGATGTCACATAACAAGGAATGAAAAATGATCATTTCTACTAATATGTTTGAGATTGTAATGTTGGCAAACTCTATAATATTTGTCTAGGAAAATCATTTTGACCAGCATACAAATGAAAGTTTTTAAGATCAATTCATAATTGAATTAAATGAGTTTTTTATTGGGAGAAAAATTGGAAGCCAACAAATTGACTGTAAAATCTGATAAAATAAACAGAATCCTAATTCACTTGATATAGTTTTACTTGAATCTTCCCATTGATGTTTAGGACTGACATTGATCAGTCCCTTATTGGGATATGTGCATACTGTGCGTATTGCCTCAATATTGCCTTAATTTACAAGCATTATAGCACAAGCAAGTGGCTATCAGGACTCAGTAGTTAAGTTGATAATGCGATGGCGCTCGAAGTGAACGGTACTGGGTTCGAGTCTAAGAGTGAACATCAACTCTGCGACGTGGATACATCCAGCTGAAGAGTCCCAAACAGGACGAAACGCGCGTCAAACTGGATTCCACTACTAGCCACTATCCATCTTTGCTTATAAACAAAATCCTGTTCACCTCATTTTCATCCCTTATTATTCTTGTTTTTGTCTGATAAGTTCTATTATATTACTTATTAGGATTATGTTTATTACTACTCTTACTTCTATCATTATTATTAGTAAATACGTAATATACGTTCGATTTGTTTGGTCATTGATCTTTAATTCTGGCTATTTCACTCCCTCAAGACATAGAAGTTCAATTTCTAATAGGATCATAAATCCGGACCATTGAGCAATTATTCTAAACAAAAAATGAAACAGAGATCTGCTACCCCGTCATTTTCAACACTACTTTCACTGAATAATGAAGAGTATTTTCAATTTTATTATTTACCTTAATTTGCATTAAAGCGATTTTACTGGATACTTGAGAATGTAAAACATTGACACATACCAAATGATACTCGATAATTGAAAGACGTCCATTTATGACTTAAATTTGCCTTAAATTTGAACAAATATCAGGTGCTTTAACCGGATAAGCGGATATGGAGGATCCATTTATGGGAGTTGGAAAACTCTGATTCTAAACCAATGGTGCACATGGTGGGTGCACATGATCTTGAGGGAACAAATGGCGTATGAACCAATAGTTGGTCACCGGCTACCATGGGACTGCATCTTCTGACGTTGCTCCATTGCCTTGTAGATCATACCTTTAGGTCAAACGCTCGGGATGTGGCTCTCTAAGAAAACCACCTGCTTTCTTGTGGATACCCGGGGAGTATCACAGTTTACACATAAATCAAGTGACTTGTGTGGCGAATATGCATTCGGTGCCCCTTTGTAACGAAAGTTTTGTGTTCCAATAAATAAATAACACTTTGTTTACGATAATAATTCAGTGACTGAAGAGAATTTAACTTTTATAAATTCCAGCTTATGTACATTGCCTTGACTCAGACTCATTACGTGACACCCGGTGAACAAGAACATAAGTGGGGACAATCGAATATATTTGAACGCAAAACTACAGAATCTCTTAATAAAATCTGAGAACCATACAGTAAATACTTCATTTACAAAATATCAATCAATCGTCTCACACTTCACTGTTCCTTTACTTCCATATCAATTGCTTTCTGTTCCCATTCTTTCTTTCTTAATCTTCTCGACATTCTATTCCTAACTAGTATTATAAACTACTTATATCGATATAAGTAGCACACAACATAACGTTACCAGGTTATTCATAATGAAGTATACGTTGTTCAATAATTTTTTTGTTTCACTATCTTATTTAATTCATAATTGCTAATGCCTGCTTTAAACTCAATAAATTTCAGTTATTGTGCTCATAATGCACTCATTTTAATTATAATGAATGGCTTATAAAGAAAAGCGGGATAAAAAAAAATCCGTTTAAATGTCAAGCTATTAACTTTAGCATAAGACATGAACGGCATCTAAACACCATTTTGGGATCCCATAATCCTTGTATCATTGGTGAACACAGTGTCGAAGGTCAATTATCTTGGTGTTACTTTTTCCTTTGATCTCTCTTGGTCTTCTCACGCTTTACTGTTATCGAAGAAAGTTTTCCATCTGATTTACTACACAAAGAGGCTGCATGCTTTTGGAATTGATCGTCATTTACTCTTACAATTTTTTAATTCCTGCAGATATTACCTATTATTCTTTACTGTTCTCCATTATTCTTTCCTAGGCTTTTGAGAAAAGACTTTCATGTATTGCGGCGAGTGCTGAAGGCAGGTAGTAAGGCATATGGTGAATCTTTCGAGGTCATTATAATATGATTGTAGATAGATATCTGAAGTTTTGTAAACTCATGGCAAGTGTTATCTTATCAAATACTAAACATCCCCTTTAATCATATCTTTCTCCTTGTATATCTTTTGGTAGAATAAAATATAATTACATTCAAATTCATGCAACGCGAACAAAAGTAATAACATAACACCATAGGCATTTACATGAACTTACTCGACAAAAATTACAATTAGCTAATTCGGTTATTTGAGTTTTATCGAACGGATTAGGACAATCGGTACATCGATAACATTTAACTTTCTTATCTAAAAAGAAACAAAAAACAAAACTTGATTAGTATGTAACTATGACATTAGTTGATGTAATTGAATTAATTGTTATATTTGTATAGGGTAAATTGATTTGTTAATTCTGGTTAGTGTTCTTTTTTAAGTAAAGTTGTTTGGTACAAGATAAGGTTTCTGACCTTATACTCAATCCTCCTTCTTTGTGTGACTTTGAGACCTGCAGTAACTTTAGAAGAGCTATAAAAGGAGGTGGAAGATGAAGACAATTAGTATAACAGAAGCTTCTGCATCAGTAGATCTCTACATATATAAAGGAAAAGGAAAAACATTCTCAAATTCAACACAAAGAACATTAACTCAATTAGACTTGACGGGGAAAATCTGGAACTGGTGGGATTTTTCATATATCTGGGTAGCATCATTGATGAATATGGAGGATTTGTTGCAAATGTAAAGGCGAATACTGGCAAATCAAGAACTGTATTCTTACAGTTGAGCAACACATGGAACTCAAAACAACTGTAAATCAATATCAAAGTTAGAAACTTCAGTTTGAACGTCAACACAGTTCTATTGTATGAAGCTGAAACCTCCAGAGCAAACGCAACCATCACCAAAATAGTAAAAATATTTATAAACAATTGTCTACGCAACGTAATCTATGTCCTTTGACCAGATACCATCAGCAACAGCCCACTATGGGAGAGAACAAACCAACTTCCATCTGAAGAGGAAATTAGGAAAAGGCGTTGGAATTGGATAGGACATACATTACAGAAATCATCAGACAGCATCACGAGTCAAACACTAACTTGGTGTCGTGAACGGAAATGGAAAAGATGGAAACCAATAACACACTACGTCGAGAAGCAGACATGAAGGGGATGAATAGCAACTGGAAAGGATTGCCCATGACAGAGTTTGATAAAGAATGCTGGTGGACGTCCTATACTCTTCCACGAGGGGTAACAGCTGTACGTAAGTACGGTTAATTATTCATTGCATTTATAAGTAGATATATATTAAAATAAATAAATAATTGAGATTTAATATCAAGTATTTAGTTTGTTATATTGAAATTCGTGCATCCAGTCCTTCATTAGGTAAACAATCGTTGTTATCGCAGCTAAACTTGTCGAAAAACATCTGCAGGCAATCATTAATCAGAGTTAATCCTCGTTGAAAAACTCTTCCCATGTTTGTTGGTATCACTACCAAGGTTTGACTTGATAATTTCGAATAAATTGAGCATTGGGTAGATTGTTATAAAGAAATTAATGTATTTGTAATTTCCAAATGAGCAGAAAAATTAAATTTTCTGACGTTTCGTGACTCAACGTAAGCCGCTTCTTCAGAGAATACATAACGAAATCCTTGGTTATTTAATCTTCACATGTTTGTTTTTAAATATGAATATGTGAAGCGAATATCAAGCAAAAATATAGATCTCAATATCGTATATGTTATACTGAAAGTTCTTCAGTGAAATCAGACATATATTATTGAATAAAGAGATTAATTTAATTATTAATTCATTCTCTAATTATTTTCTATCACCAGTATCGGATTGTGGAGATTGTTAAACCTTTGATTGAGATCATGAATGGATCAATGTTAGACCATCATTGAAAAATTTAGAAGCATTGGATGACTGTTTCGTCCTAACATGAGATTCCTCATCAGTGTGCAGCTACGATCTCGCATTTATTTATTTATTTTTATTTGGATACATAAATATTGATACAAGAGGGAACCAAAAATATATGCGCTACACAGAATTTTGTGTGCGGGCTGTGATACTGCCTGGGTGCCCAGACCGAAGCAGGTGGTTTTCTTGGGGGAGGCCTTCGACCTAAAGGTTTGATCCACAAGGCAGTGGAGCATCGTAAGGAGATGCAGTCCCATGGTAGCCGGTGACCAACGATTGATTCATACGCCATTTGTTCTTTCAGGATACTGGAGCCCATATGCACCCTTGGTTTGGGATCCAGTTAAAGCGTTGAACATTCGCTTTTCGTCCTCTCATTTTCGCGAACAACACCCCCGTCACAAGAAGGTAGTGAGTAGGACTTACCTGGCAGAGGTTATATACGCGTGGCCGTGTATACCTGTCTATATCTGACACAGAGACTAATAATACTGACTTCAGTGATTGTACAATAAATCAGCATATATATATCATTAGAACACCCGCTTTGTTTAATTTTATGAAAATTTATATAATGAACTTATATGCATACAACTGATAAAGCTTCAATGATATAAATACTAATGGTATCATTTCATTTAAAGTTGCCTAATTTTAGGACAAGATAAGTTACTGTATTCAGTAAATAAACATCCCTCTCTCTCTCTCTCGCTATATATATATATATATATATATATATATATATATATATATATATATATATATATATATATATATATATGTTATCTAAAATCAGTTATTTATAATTAGAAAAATAATGAAGAATTTAAGGCTGAAACATGATGAAGTGTTTTTCGACTATCTATTTTATAATGAGTTTTTGTATTGATTTACTAATTAGAGAGAAAGGGAATTTTACATTATAATTGAAAGTTTACAAGTGTTCTATTTGTGTATAATCTATGAAGGAGAATATTTTAAAGGGAAAAAAACATTGATATTTCAACTAAAATCATGATATTTTTCTTATATATAATACCTTAAAGGTGTACCAACTTGGAGTAACTAATTTAACTATTAGGTTCTATTTTGTTTATGGATGACTGATTAGTATGTTAATGCTACCAAACTAAGGAAAAATGAACATCTTACACCAGTCAGTCTGTCAGTCAGTCAGTTACAACGTAGGACGGGGCACATATATGCATCGGTCCAAGTTGCTATACCTCATTAGCACAGCAAGACCAACACCGGATTCATAGAAGTAGTTAATTCAGTGGTGGTAACATATAGAAGAAAGATTGTGTATAAGGATATAGTACAGGAAGAAAGATTTAGTACGTAGAAAGAAAGATATGAAGCGATTTTAATCTCATAGTTTAAGGGAAGACGGAGAATGTATACCCCTACGCTATTGTGATCGATTCTGAGACATGTCACATACAGTCTCCAACCATTGGTTACGATAATCACGCGGATCCCAACCAAGTAGTCTGCATCTACCAACATGTCTCAAATCAGAAGTTAGTGACTTCAAGCACTGATGCCACGTTTTGGTTTGACCAACTGGAACGAACTGCCGCGCAGTATACTCGTCCATCAATTGATAGACGGATATCTTGCTTGTGCCATAGGTGACGTAAATTGACAAAAGCCAAACGAGCTTTGCGAATCCGTGCTGAGATCTCGTCAGACACCAACCCATTAGGGCTGATCAGACTTCCAACATAAGTGAAGTTGTCAACGCGTTTGACTACTTCACTCTCTATCCTTAGTTCAGGTGTTGACGCAGACCAGTCCTGAAGCAACAACTTGCATTTAGAGGGAGAAAAGCGCATCCAACAGACAGACTTAGCTACATAACCAACCAGTACAAGATAACTGATGTTATAAACTAAAGTTCCTCCCCCAATTCTGACCATTGATTAAACCTTGAACTTTCAGAGTTCACAGTGAATATTATCTATTTGAACAACTGGATCAGAATAAGGTATAAGATATATTGCGGACGTTATCTAAACTTACCTTCCGTTTGATTGACTTTAACACAAGTTTATCAATAGAAGTTTACAAAGTTCTTATTGATATTAGTTATATGGTATCGTATAGAACAATTACTTCAGTTTACTTTGAAGTTGATCGGTATTAGACACCTTAAAAATATTATATGCTGTGTATTATTATGTGGAGTTGTTTGTTAATTTTGTACTATTGAGCTAAAATGAAACACTTATTCGATGCAATCTGGTTCCACATTATCTCTGTTAACTTATTACATAATAACTATTAAGTTATATATTTACTGCTGACTAATTTCGAAGTTCTTAAGTTAACTAATGTCAAGTGTGAGGTAGTTATCCTCCAAAGGCATTGAAAATCAATCACTCAACATCGTGAATCGATTGAAGCTTAACATACAGACCAGTGAATGCCAACTTAATGGTCTAGTGATTAAACTCTTGTCCTAAGAAATGAAGTCCATGAGTTCAATACTCTGCTAATGGGTCATGGATGAACATTAATGAGTAGTAACATACTGATGGATTAAGTGAATATCGATGTATTACGTTCCTCTAAGCGCATGCCAGCTAAAGGCCAAATGACAGGTAAGAGATGGTAAAAAAAAAGTGTTATTTATATACCAATGCGTTTGCCAATACAGCATCCTAGTTGAGCTCAGTTTTTTTCACTCATATCCTGAGTTAAACTCGAGCATGTTAAGCGTGTATATCATAGTATATCAACCAGACAACTGAACAATGTAATACACACTAAAATGAAATAACTAGGCAATGATGAGATCAGTCTGTGATATAATTTAATGCATAAATATTTTCTGTAGTGTGTTAGAATGACCTGATGAAATTTGAACTAGGAATCAAATGAATAATACTTTCTTATAAGGTTACTTAATTCATTGTTGATTCTTATTAAGTTAATTCTATTTGAGCTGGAAAAAAAAGAAAATGAAGATGGATAGTGAATGATCTCATTTTACATTAGTAAATATTCTGTTTTTGTTTTATAAAGGAAAAAATCAAAATGAGGTCAATGGTTGTATCCCAAATATGAGAATTGAATTCTACAATAATATTTTTATGCAGAATGAAGAGATCCTAATTATATGAATGCCGGACTTGCTTATCGTAATGAAGCAACTGAGCTATACTGGATGGAACAACCGTTCCTCAAGGTCCTACCATGCCAGACAGGTCGGTTGAAGAGCGGTAAGACTAAAAGCAACAAACTCAAGGTCTGAAGGCGACGATGTACTGCTAACTGTATAGAGGTGTGATGGCAGTAAGATGTTTCATTCAGACAACCAGCATAACAGCGATGCTGCCTTCCTACAAGGAGGGGTGGGGTTAGA